AGGTAACATTCAATAGACTCATATACAATAAAACTTTATATAATCATCTACAGAAAAGAAATTTGAAATTATTACCGCTTGCAATTTTCTTATATGATTATCTGAATTCTGTCATGCAGGTTGGGAGAAGCAGAGCAAGCATTGGATCACTACAAACATGCTGGCAATCATGCCGACTCCAATGACATTGCTGAAGCTCAGGCTCTAAATCAACGCCTTAAAAGATGCACCAATGCTCGAAAATCGAATGAGTGGAATACTTTACTTAAGGAAACTCAATGTGCTATAACCTCTGGAGTTGATTCTGCACCTGAGGTTAGCTTTCTTACTGTTTATATATGTCACATTTTAATATTTGCTCCATCTAGTTACTTAAATGCTTATGGTCATTTTTTGTGATCTACACCAGATCTATGCTCTACAAACAGAGGCCTTACTGAAGCTCCACAGGCATCAAGATGCCTGCACAGCCTACAGCAAAGGACCAAATTTTGCCATTGAATCTTGCATTAATTTCTTTGGCCTGGCTGTTGGTGCTTATCTTTTAATGGTCAGAGCACAGGTCTACATGGTTTCCGGGAGGTTAGTAGAAAGAAATCTCTATAATTGAGTCTAGATGCCGATAAGTCTGAGATGACTTTTTCTTTGCAAATTTTATATAAAGGATGTTGTTACAATTTTTGGAATACAAGTTACTAACATTGAAAAGCAGGGGCAGCCTAGTTCTTCAGTCGTTCAAATTTTAAAACATATTACTTTCTTTCACTAACTTCATAATTAGGCTGACTTATCTGGACGTATCTGAATAAATGAGAATATAATGATTGCGTAGTTTTGAAGATAAGGAAAATATGATAAAAATCTCATGTAAGCCGTCTATTGTATACAAACACATGCATACAGATTATTTTACTTGAAAAATTAACAGTGGACTTGATCGGATTATAATAGGCTAGAAGATGCTGTATCCGCAGCTCAGCATGCGGCTAGACTTGATCGAGGTAACAAGGAAATAAGCCTAGTGGTAGAGAGAACTAGAGCAGTATCGTCAGCTCGATTGAGTGGTAACTTGCTCTTCAAGGCATCAAAATTCTTGGAGGCTTGCATTGTATATGGTGAAGGACTAGAGCATGATCCATGCAATTCAGTACTGCTATGCAACAGAGCAGCTTGTAGATCTAAGCTAGGCCAATTTGAAAAGGCCATTGAAGATTGCACAGCTGCTTTAAGCGTGCAACCTTCTTATAGCAAGGCAAGGCTAAGGAGGGCTGATTGTAATGCCAAGGTAAATAATGTTGAGGCCTTTTTTTTCTGAAACCTCATGCTCCTGAATATTCTTGACTAATTATTCATTATTGTTTCTTTCATTATGTATAATCAGCTAGAAAGATGGGAAGTGGCAATCCAGGATTATGAAATGTTGATAAGGGAAACACCTGGAGATGAGGAGGTAGCCCGAGCTCTGTTTGAGGCTCAAGTCCAGCTCAAGAAACAGCGCGGTGAAGACATTAAGGACATGAAGTTTGGCTCAAATCTAGTTTTGATCTCTAGTAACGAGCGTTTCAGGCACTTTGTAACCTCACCTGGTAAGTAGTCATTAGTCAGGCAACAAATTCTGCTATGAATAGTTTTTCCCTGCCTTTTAATATCCCAAAGGAATGTAGGAAGTATCAAACAATTCTGCCATTTCCCTTTGAGGTCATTGGTGGTTCTGATTTGATAGTAATAAAACCAATGAAAACCTTTTATTCAATGACAGGGATGACAGTAGTGCTTTTCTGTAACAAAGCAAAACACAAGCAAGTTCTGCAGGTTATGGAGCAAGTGTGCAAGAGATTTCCATCTGTCAACTTCCTCAAGGTAATTGAATTGATACAATTACATTATCAACAACATCATTAAAAGAATGGGATACTAAATTATCTCCTGTTTGAATATATTGGTTGACATTGTCAGGTGGAGGTAGAAGACCATCCTTACTTGGCTAAGTCAGAGGCTGTAAGCTCCATTCCGGCCTTCAAAATATACAAAAATGGATCAAGGGTCAAAGAAGTTCCAGGCAATAACCCTGAATTGTTGGAAAGATCTGTCAAATTGTACAGCAGTTGAAGATAATTATTAGACAAGATCATATGGAAGCGGTAAAGAGAAGATGTGAATATGCATGGGAGTAGGAACACTTGTCACCTTCCAGCAAATAAACAAAGAAAGTTCAACAGAGAAAAAACAAATACTAATAATGGGGCTAATCATGTCTGCTCAATGACTTTGCTGGCATTGCACATAAAGGAACAAAAGTTGAGAGCAATTAGCGCGGCACTTGGGATTTAAACATGCAGAAGAGAGATTTTCTTTGCTTTTCTTTTTTTTTTTTTCGTTTGATGTTGTAAAGTAGAGCATCTTTTAATTTAAAAAAAAAATTACAATCATAATAAATATTACATCCATATAATAGATTGAAAAATCAACTATTACATCATAATTAATAATCAATTAATAAATTAAAATATAATTAGGTAACTAAATTTGTACAAAATATGACTTAAACTTAGAATCTCCTACCACTAAATTAAAACCTCATTGGTAGCTTATTTATATTGCGTTTATAAAATACAAACAGCGTTTATAAATACTTCGAATTTAATTATGGCATAGACAATCTCTAGGCCATACTTTTGAAGGCCCAAGTTTTTACTTTGGTTGGGGCTTTGTCTTCTTTGAGGCATAACTTTTTTTTTTTTCTTTTTATTTTTTGTTATTGTGTCTTCTTGATAGAGCAAACTTTTCTTTGGGTTTTTCATTAAAAAAAAGTCAAAAAGATACTATGAATTATAATTTAATCCTCGTATAAATTTTAATATTTTATTATAATCAATTAAATTTTTAATCTTTTATTTCGATTCAATTAAATTTTTAAAGAGAAAAAATTTTATTACATGATAAAACTTAATCAATCAATCATCAAGCTATAATAAACTTTTTTTTTTCTTATAAATCTCTCATATATGTTAATATTCGCTTGACATATTAATGTCTCACTCTTAATTTTAATTATCAGATTTAAAATTTTTATAACTTTAAATATAAAAAATTTTCTCAAAATTTAAATCTATTTTCTATTAAAAATTTTATATTTATATAAAATAAAAAAATCATTTTCAATAATATGATTTTTTCCTTTACTAGATTGATAAAGGTAAGGGCAACTATAATTCTCTATTTTTTATAAATATAAAATTCTTTATTTTTTATTTTTTTATTATTTTTTATAAATATAAAATTCTAATAATAAAGAATATATTCAAAACTATTTTTTGTTCAATAGAAAAAAATTGTGAATAGATTAATAAATAGCTTTTTTAAAATAACATGAAATTTTTTACTTAAAATTTTAAAATGATATGGATTTTTTATTTAATTTTATAAATAAATATAGAAAATTTTACTTAACTTTTCAAAATAATATGAAATTTTTTCAAAAGGATTTTGAAATAGTTAACTTAATTTTAATTTTTGAAAATCTCTTTTTTATTAAAAAAATATTTAACTAATATATTATATTAAAATAAAAAATATTATTTTAAATTAAATATTTTATAAAATATATATAAAATATAAAAAAAAATTGAGATATTATCATCTTTGGTCTTTAAACGTTGAATGACATCTTTGGTCTAGCCACGTGGTGTTAGCTAGTACTTACCTCTGATTTAAATGATTTCATAAATGAAAAGATAAAAATATTACAACTTTGAGTAATTGGAGATTTAATTAGAAATTTTTAAAAATTATAGATTAAAATAAAATTTGATACAAATTCAAGGATTAGGAGTTATATTAACCCTTAAAAGAAATGGTCTCTTTCACTATAAATGAAAATACACCTCTAACACTGAAATTTAAAAACTATATGTATAAAAAATGAACTTCTAGTTTTTATTCTTCTTTTAATACATTTAGTCAATGTTCAATGGATAATTAATTCAATTGAAATTGTGGGATTCTTTTGTTTTTGTTCAAACCTAATAAGCGAGCAAGGATTCAGCGACATGTACAAGACATAAGTCAACAACAACCAACAATCACCTGCTCCTGCATGACAATCGACATAATTATGCAACCTTATTATTAGGACAACAAACATTCTTATTTCAATCTTTCCATTTAGTTTTTCCTCAAATCCAGGCAACTTTTAATAAAACAAACGGTCAAAATTGAAGGAGGTATCTCACCCTGGCTGATGTCGTGTTATTATGAGCAGTTGCGAGAAGGCAGATTTCGATCTGAATGAGTGTATAAATTTGGTAGGCATGGAAGAGACACAACTCTTTAGCAAAAATAACATGTGAATTAAAATTGATTCCCTCTGTTTTGCGGACCAAATCACTAACCAGTGGAAAGAAAGATGCATAAATACATAGTCAAAAGTATTGCAACGTCCTTTTTTATTTTTTTACAAAGTAAGCTGTCCGTGAGAGAAAAAAAATTATAAATTTTAAAACTCGAACCTTAAATTTGTTTTGTTGTATATAATTTTTTTAAAATGATTTTAAAAACTAATTGAGCCGCTTAAGTTCATATTACAATGTTTTTTTTTTATTTCTTTTGTTTTTTTTTTTTTTTTTGAGGGATAAATTTTATCTTGTAGTTAGGAATCAGCATCACATCCATTTTCTGGTTATAGTTGGATATTAGGAACTTAAATAACGCACACATGTAAAACTAGAATTGGATAACATAAACTTGCATAGATCTCTGGAAGTTGAGAGAGAAGAATCGCCAGTAATTCACTATCAAAAGGAACTAAACAGTAGGTTCTTAGTTTCAGGGGATATAAGAACAACTCAGGAATGTAAATGGCAGCAAAATCGTTTTCCAATTGAAAGAAAAGGAAAGCTGTACAAATTATGTAACACAAATGCAAACTTTCAAATCATACATAGCAATGACAATATATCAAAATTTAAAAGGTAAAAACTATAGGTGGTGATTAGGTTTGGAATTTCCAGTTCTCAAAAAAGAACTCAGACTAAAGCGGGGGTGGTGAAGTTCAAAACAAAGCACAGAAATATCTTTGTGAAGTGAACGAGGAAAAAAAGAGTTGTCACCGGGATAATCATCTCTTCCAACTTCGACTTCGGTATAATGGGTCTCTCATTCCTCCAACAAGCCATGTCTCTTTGGCTATATCAGATGAAACTTTGTAGAAATCAGGGTCGTATCTCATCACCACCAAGCTCTCTTTTGTCCTTCTGTTTTCTTCTTCCATTAATGACCTCAAATTCTTTTCTTTTTTCTCACCTTTCCTCTTACATTCTTCTTCTTCTTCTTTCTCTTTCTCTTTCTCTTCATCTTTTTCTTTGTTTTCCTCATTCACTTCGTTCTCTTTTACCGGTTTCTCTTCTAGCCAGCTCTTAGCAGGAGCAGACCTACAACGCATAAGCAAGAGAGCATTCGGAGGTGGAACTGCAGCTTGATCATCATCAACATGATCATGGGAACTCTCATTTTCTTTCTTTTCTTCTTTATAAAAGCCGTTGTTTTGATTCTCTTGCAGCATCATGAACCATTTGGAAAAGATGGTTCTTGATGTCTCATTGCCATCTACATGGTTGTGGTTTTCTTGGTATCCTTCACATTCTTCATCTTCATCTTCATCATCAGTTGTGATATCAGATTGAGGAAAAGACCCGAAACACCTAAAATCAAGACGAATGCTTCGCAAACATGTTAAGAACTGCGTGACTTCTTTCTTAAAACCAAGTGACTCCACCCAACTTGGCCTCTTTTTGTGTTGCCTGCTGTTGTGAATCCTTTCAATCTCTTCCATGACTGATTGCCAGCTTTTACGTGAGCTTGGTTTAGACCTGACTTTGATCTGCCCTGCGCAGGTGACTTTTGGGGAGGTTGGTTCCGTGATCTCGGATCCCATTTGCTTGTTTTTAGCCCATAGCAGAGGGCTAGCTTGGGCGCCAGCTCCACCACCATTTCTGGTGCTTGATTTCTTAAGGAGACGGTGCTGTTGGTGGTAGTGGTGGTGGTGGTGACGGTGGCGATTGTTGTGGCGCTTGTTGGGTTCTGATGACTTTGCTGGGCTACAAATGGGCTTTGGCATTAGGGTTAGATGGGCTCGAGATGGGAAACATACTAGCAAATCTGCTGAAGGAGCTCCTTTGGTTTCTCTTCCTTTCATGGCAGCTTAGTTTTTGTTTCTCTCGTCGTTTCCCTTCTTATTCCCTTTGCCTAGTTCAGTTCAGTTGTTTCTTTTTAGACGTTGGACAATGGGCGCTTAAGAACTGTCTACAGTGCTTACGTTTTTTTTTTTTTAATGTTTTTGAGATGTATTTGGGCTTCGATTGTTCTTCAATTTTAAAAGAAAAGGAGGGAGGGAATCGTACTTTTAGTTTGCCTTTTTTATTAGTGTCTCTCTTTACTACCTGTATGTTAAATTTTCTAGCAACTCCTTTTTGCTTTCTTTGAAAATGGGGTCACAGCTCACAAGTGAGCTTCTTTCTTCGCCTCTACTTTTTTTCACTAAACAAATTAAAAAATCAAAATGAAAGAAAAGAGTTAAAACCCACGAGCTTTGCTTCATGATCCAATCATACCCTCAACTTGTGAGCCCATGCCAGTTATTCCATACCCTATTTGCCTATCTCCAACAACCACCAAACCTCCACCAACAAAAAAATGAAATTGATTGGTTTATTTTCATAGTCTTATAGGACTCTTCAACAAGTGGTAACATATATGCTTAGTTTGGAAATAAAAGGGTTTATGTGGTTGGAAAAAAGAAGGGGAGGGCTTTGTTTTAGAGCCAAGAAATGTACTAAACTTGTTATTTCAGGGGTTAAAGGGGGGGGGGGGAGGAAACGAAAGTTCTTCGAGGGAGGGAAAATTGGGGTTAAAGAAAAGTTAAGGAAGCTATAATTAGGGGAGTAATGCACTTGAGAGCACGGGGAAAAGAATGGCCCCCTCCATCCACTAACATCTTGCGTTAGATTTAGACTTTCTTTCCTTTTGTTTGTGACTTTCCACGAAGGAAGTATAGATAGTCTACTCTCCTTCACCTTTATGATTTGTTGTTATCATTATCATCATGAGAGAGATATTAGTGGGGGCAAGGAACCAATTCTCTTCCAAAGTAAACTTTTAGTTGAGTGTTTAATTTCTTGGTTTGTTTAGTACTCGTGTGAATGCAAAGTTACAAACAGGGGGGTTCATGTAATTTTGTAGAATGTTTCCAGAACCCCAATGTTGGGTCTTGAGAGCTCGATCAAGCTAAGCTGGATCTAAGCTTGTCACCTTTTTGCTGCCCGTCCTGAACCTGTCAAATGTGATGAGATATTGAAAAGTACCCACAAGAAAAACAGTTTCTTTTAACTCTATGATTAACATTTTATTGAGTATATGATTTATGTGCAAACTTTTTACAACTTGTAGGAAAATATATAAAAAGCCTTTGGTAATGCTTTGAAATGCATCAAAAGAATGCAGATTCATAGAGATTTTTACAATTTACCTACTCCAAGCTTCCCCAAGTTCGTTGCCTGATCAGTTTTTTCTCTTTTCTTCTTTCTTTTTCTGTTTTGATATACATAGTTTAAAGGACAGTTTCAAAAAGCAAACGGGCAGGGCCAGCAAAGCCTGAAGTTAGGTGACTTCAATCAATGAATTGGAACCATAATTTTGAAGTTTCTGTTTTTGATTCAATGATAGTACATTGACACTCTCATATATCATTGAGAGTTGAGACATGTGAAGTTCCAATATTCTGTTTTATGTGAATTTGCTAGTACATCAGAAAACATGTGATTGAAGCTTTTAAGCAAAAAAATTATTGAAGTTTGGTCATTAGCCACCCTTGGGGAGGTTCTGCATTTTTGTTTAATGAACTAATCTTTATATCTATGCAATGCTTTGGAACTATTCAATTATGCTTTAAGGAAAGTGCCGAAGGTGAAGGATATCTATATATATAGCTAATATTTGGTCCTTTTATTTCATAATGCAAACCATTGTTAAGACATGATTACCGGGTGAGGAGACGGCTTTGATCAATCATTTTTATCATTATTTTTCTGTGATATATATGGATTCTTATCATTTTAATTTTAATTTGAATTAACAAAGGCAGCGTTTTCTTCAAATGATTGTGATTCTTATTTTCTATAATTAAACTCCTTTAACGATCTATAAAATAGATGTAACCTAAAAAATATATATCTATATATACAAATATTTAAATTCAAATCTCGTATGTTTAAATAATATCACTTAAAAATAATTATAAAACAACTTAATTAAGTCTTGAATTCAATAAGACTCTTCTCTTAGTTAACCTTGTATTACTCCTAAAACAATCAAGTTATTTAAGACCCTAATAGAACTCTTAAGCAACATGTAACCAAAATCTTAGGGTAAAACTATAAATATCAATGAATATATAACTAATGGATAGAGAAAGAAATAACATTCAAATTTATTTTATTTAAAAAATTCAAATCTATTTTGGAAGGAAGATCAAGAGCTAATCAAGGACTAATTAATTAATTATTAGTCGATTAATGGTATTATATTTCATTTCAAGTCTGAACGTTTGCTTACCGCCAAGTTCATTTTAAAGTTTAATTTGGGAAAGCTTTAATTTTACAAAGTTTCACCATGGCTCTGTCATCCTTTGAATTCATCAATGATTCTCCTTTTTTTTTTTTTCTCCTTTTTATAACAGTTGAATTCACACATATCAGGTGTCATAATACTATACGATGAACGCTTATTTTTTACTAATTCCTACCGATTATAATTGCCTGCTACAAAAATCATTGGGGCAAACAATGTTGGTACCATATAACCCTTTTTTCACCCTTCCAGATCGTATGAAGAGAGAGCCTCAAGAAATTCAGCGAAACAGCGGTCTTTTTAGGTTCAGACAAAAGCTGCTTTCACTATAATAATGAGTTCACAATCAATTTCCCAACTTCTGTCTAGTTGAATGAGGTTTTTAAACTGAGAAAATGGCTCGATCCCGTGAAATTTATATTATTTAGGTTTTAAATTTTAAGACTTGCTCCATCCCATGAACAGAAAATGTTGCTTTTAGAGGATGTCTAATTTCCAGATAATTAGGCTAAAGTAGTTACACTTATAACATTCCAAATATGTACCTACTAGTATTAAGTTAATATTAATATTTGATACCTTATTATAATTTTTTAATTTCATAAGTGAAATTAAAATTTTAATAAATTAATATTTTTTTTAATTAATTTTTTAAAATATATCTTAAAAATATATATCTACCTACTAACACAAGATTAAAAAAAATCATTGAAATAATTTCTAAAAAAAAAAAAAAGCCAATTTTTATAGGCAAAGACAAAGCCCAAAACTTGTCATGACCCAAGACTATTGGGCATGTTAAGCAACTGGGCGATCTCCAATTGTTGGGCTGGAAGTGGGCATAAATAAAAGTCAATATCCTGAAACTGAAATTGTGCTTAAAACCCTAACTAGCAGGTTTCTGTAGGTGTAGGCCATGAAATCGAAAGAACCCGGATTTATCAGCAACAAATCGCAAGTCTCAAGGAAGTACAGTTGCAGTTGCAAGATAAAACTGGTCTTACAGGCAAGTTTCTCAATCCCAGACATGTCTGAATCTTGTAAATTCTCTTTGTTATGTTAAAAGAAAATCAGCTAAAACAGTAAAACCTTGACAAAACCCCCAGGAAGGAAAAAAAATGACATCCCCTTTAGTCAGAACTCTTATCTCACTTTCTCTCAATAAATCATCCCGTTTTCAGAAACGCTTTTCCTGTTACTCCATCTCTGTTGTTTTCTTTTCATCTTCTACTACCCAGGAATCAAAACCTTCCCTTTATTTAGCTGATCACTTTGTTAAGGAACACAACTTTTCCCCTGAACTTGCCTTGAAAGCTGCATCTTCCTTAAACTATCTGAGGGCACCTGGTAAGTGTGATGAATTAATTTCATTTCTTAAACAAAGCGGTTTCTCGAAATCCCATATTGAACAAGCGGTCAAAAGAAAGCCTAACCTTCTATGTTCTAATCTTGAGAAAACCATTAAACCCAAATTCAAGATTTTCAGAGACTTGGGATTTTCATCCGAGGATATTGCTGATATTGTATCCGGTGATCCCTGGATTTTGAATAGAAGAGTGGATACAATTGCACCTACTTTTTTAGAGTTAAAGAGTGTTATAGGATCGAATGCCGGTGTTATTAAGTTATTAAAAACTTCATCTTGGTTTTTGAAATATGATTTGCAAAAGACTATGATGCCTAACTTAGAGTTCATGAGAAGTTTTGGGATTAGATCGTCACAAATTGTTAGATATGTCTTTGTCCATCCTAGATTTTTCTTGCATAAACCTGAGAGCATTAAGCAGCTTGTTAAACGGGCGGATGACATGGGATTCAATAGGAAGTCAAGTTTGTTTCTTGCAGCTATTAGGACGTTGGGTTCAATGAGTGAAGAGAAGTGGGAACTCAAGTTGAAGATTTTTAGGAGCTTGGGGTTTTCTGAAGATGATATCATGTCTACTTTTAGGAGGAAACCCGAGGTGTTTACTGTGTCAGAAAGGAAGATTAAAGAGGTCACAGCGTTTTTGCTTAGCAGAAAGAACACAGATATTTCTTTTATAGTAAACTACCCGATGGTGCTCACTTGTAGTCTTGAGCATAGGCTGAAGCCTTGGCTACGGGTTATTGAGATTCTGGAAAGTAAGAATTTGCTAAGCAGGAAAGTTAGTTTGAGTACACTTTTTAGGATGTCCGAAAAGCAATTCCGAGATAAATATGTTCGTCCTTATTCAAAAGAGCTTGAGAAAGCGTCCACGGCTATTGCAGCTGATAATTGTTGATTTTCATATGATTAATTGAGGCTTGGACACGTCAAATCTTTGATGGTGCTTAAGTAGTTTCTAAGCTATGTTTCTTTGCAACAGATATTAATTTAATCCTACTTTTTTCTTCCTTTTTTTTTTCTGACTACTACTTTGTTTTCTTTCTTGAAATGGTTTCTTGCACAGTCAAGACTTATGTTTGAATAACTCAAATAATCTCTCTCTAAAAATGCTTAACTTTGTAATTGTTGATTGTTTTTGTTCTTGCAATGCAATTGATGATTTCATTATTTGTTTAACTTTCTAATCCTATTTGAAGACTTACATATATGGTTTCACATCATGTGTGGTCATACCAGTAATATTATTGTAAGTTTTTTATTTTTTGCTATTGAATTTCTATCCTTGTCTGCCATAGTTATGTTTGTAAATGGTCATTATGTTGCCAGAGGTGGGCTGCTGATCTAAATTTGATTTTGGATTTGACCTATTTTAGGCTACTGTCACTCTGGTTTTTATCAATTTTTCATATTCAAATGTAATCGGCGGCTGAACCTGCATTTGCTGATGCTGAAATATTTAATAAGGAAATTGCAAGAATCTTTCTTTACCCAAATATGGCATAAACATTTAAAGATTGTTTTGAATAGAAAAGCATTGAAGACAGTGGAACATGTAGCAGATGTGATTATATGCTTGTAAGTGCTGCTGCTTTGTTGCTTTTAATCATAATTGATGTGGCTTTTGGAATTTCATTCTTATACAACAGTGAACTGTTTTTGAGATGTGATAAACGTATATATCATAGTATTTCTCTTCTCCTTGGATAACCAAGTAGATAGAGTGTTTCTTGAAAGTTTTACACTTAATTATAAACTTTATTAGTATTATTTTTTTTTTTTGGCTTCTCGGGTTTCTGATGGATTTATCAGAATGTATGTACAAAAATAGCCCACCATTGGATGCAATGGGATTTCATCATGGACAAGAAATATGCATTGAAAGATGACTTTGATTTACAAATATGTATTTAAACAAAGATGATTCAAACAGCATAAACAGAAGAAAAAACAAACCCAACCCAAATCAAAAGGAGTTCATTTCCACGACATTACGCCTATCCCTGAGCAATTCCCTGACGGAATCCACATATACCCCACCCCCAACACCTTTTAAAGCCAAATGAGCATCTTCCACGTCGGCTTGCTTCCCATCTTTGAATGCCCTTGCCACGAACAACGTGGCGCCCGTCATGCCTCGTCCTCATCCTCACACTAGGACCCGCCACCGCTAGAACTAACTCTTCCATTCCGTTATGTGCCCTAACGACTATCCGTAACAGCAAATGCCTAACGCCGCGATCAACGTGCTTATTGTCCACATCACAAGCGTCTTCAACCCTCTTGCGAATTCCGCTTCGTTATGACTATTTCCCAAACAAGGGCCCCAAAATCACGCACGTTTTCAACGTTTCGCCGAACTCGGCTCTCCACTTAACAGCCGTGCCTTTCTCTAAGTGAAGATCACAGGCAGGTAATTCCACTCGGAGTTCCCTGATTCGTTGGAACCGGGAGAGAAATTGAGTCGGGTATGTGTGCGTCCGGTCCGGGAATTGGAGCAGCGTTGGCTTGGGTAAATTGAGATAGAGGAAGGACTTAAGGAGAGTGAGGAACAGTGAGTTGGAGTCTGACTCGCACGAGATGACGCGGTCGATTTTTAATAAGAGCGACTCGGTTTGCGGGACGAGTGTTTTGACTCGTTTGGAGACGGAACGGCAGCGTATCAGGGTTTTGACATCGGAGAATGAGTTGAAGAGCAGGAGGATCAGAGAATCCGATAGCCGATCCAAGCCGTCCACTCCTTGTTTTCAGTTTTGGGTTTTTCAAGCTTCGGAGATTTTAATCTTTGAAAATGATGATAAAAGAAAATGAAGAACGGCATCAACGATGTCTGGAACCCGGCGCAGTACGTTTGACCGTTGACCTGCGAAAGTGTCATGACAATATCATATGGCGATGTCGTTTTAATTATGACATCCATCTGCTTTGATTCTCTTTCTGAAAGTTTTAAACATTTAATTTTTTTACATTTAATTAACGCTGCATTTAGTTTTCCAAGAGGGTATTAAAAACAAGATTTGGCTTAGAAATTTTTGAAATCATCGTTAAATCAATCCTTAATATGATATATTACTAGTATTACTATTTACCCCTGTATTTCCTTGCAGAACAAATTTTTTTTCCTAAAATGCAGGGTTTGGTCTTCATTTTAAATTTTGAATTCAGATATAGGATTTTGATTTACAACAAAATTGTAGATCTATTTTTTAATTTTTTATAATTATTTTATTTTCATTAAAAAATAAAATGATCATTTTATAATGTTAAAAAAATAAAATAATTAATCTATAATGTTGGACAGGTATAAAATATATATATTTAAAATTTTTATTATTTATATTTTAAATTATTTTATTTTGATTAAAGAATAAAATAATTATTTTATAATGTTGATAAAGGAAAATTAGTCTTACAGTGTTGCACGGGTTTTGCAATATAATACCTTTAAGGATTTTAAAAGTTATATATCTTTTTTTTTTTAATTTTCATATTTATTATTATTTTATTATTTCCATTTTAGGTTATTTTATTTTTATTAAAGGGTAAAATAATCATTTTATAATTTTGAACAGGTGATAAAATATAATCTCTTTGGAAATTCTTTATATTTTAAATTTTTTATTATTAACATTTTAGGTTATTTTTCGTTAAAAGTTAAAATGATCATTTTATAATATTAGAAAGAGAAAAATGATTATTTTATAATGTTGAAAAGAAAAAAATAGTCTTGCAATATGATACCCTTAGGGATTTTAAAAGTTTTTATATCTGTTTTTTTAATTTTCATATTTTTATTATTTTACTATTTACATTTTAGGTTATTCTTTTTTCATTAAAGGATAAAATGATCATTTTATAATGTTAAACAAGTGTTAAAATACAATCTCTTTGGGAATTCTTTTAACATATTTTAAAATTTTTATTATTAACATTTTAGGTCATTTTTCATTACAAGTTAAAATGATTATTTTATAATATTAGAAAGAGAAAAAAATGATCATTTTACAATATTAGACAGGTATAAAAATACAATCCCTTTGAAAATTCTTTTACTATATTTTTAATTTTTTTACTATTAGAATTTTAATTGTATTATTTTAATTAAAGTTTTATAATTATATTATTTTATAATATTGAAAAGGATAAAATGATCATTTTTAAATACTATACGTTTGGCACTTTCTAATCCCTTTAAGAATTCTTTAAATAGAGAATTATAAATGTGTCACTCTCTAATCCTTTAAGAATTCTTTTAATAGAGTTATAAATATTATCAAAAAAGCAGTATTTGAAAATATAATCTGCAAAAGAAGGATTGAGTTTGTAAATTAGAAATGTTCTTTGAATTCAATATAATAGCAGAATTTTAAAATTCTACCTACAGTCGTGTCATATGTTTGGTTATGTTTTACTAGTAAAGTAATGAATTTTTAATTTTACTGATTAAATTTTAATCTCTACATTACAAATAGAAAAAATCTCAAAATTTTATATATTTTAAAAATAATGTAGAACAATTAAAATACATAAACTAAAGAGAAAGGCTGCCTATGGCCAAAGAAAAAAAAAAAAAAAAGAAAGGCCGCCCATCAAGTGGTTAAACCTATGATAGGATAGGATATGAAATATGTTTAGGGTGTGGTTCGTATATAAAATTATTATAAAATAAGGTAATATAATATTATAATTAGTATTAGATTACATAATGTTATAGTATTTTATATTTGATGTATGTAAAATTATGATAAGATAATTTATTAATTGATTAAAAATTTTTTCTCAAAATTTATATAATTTAAATTATTGATGTAATTTTTTAAAGTATAATGGGATATGTTAAATCAATTTCATAGATTAAAAATAATTTTTTTCATTTTAAAAAAATTAAATCATTTTATATCAAAAGAATTATTAATATTTCTTGCAATCATATTTTTTTTAATATAAACTAAACATAATATAAAAATATTATCATTTTATCTTATTTATTATTTTATATATTAAACATGATAATAGTACAATATATAATATCTTATGGATTAGTTTAGGAGTGTAATTATGTATCTTACATATTTATCATTATGTTCAAGACCATTAAAAATTTAAAACAATCATATCTATTGACAGGCTCGTTAGCGAAAACCCATTCGAAGCAGAGACTTCTTGTTTCATGAAAAGCAAGCAATAGGAGTTCGAAGAGTTATAGGTTTCTACTACAAGTCTACACTTATAGTCTTGCAGAGCTAAACATCACAGAAATTCCATTGCTCCAACAAATCCCCAGCTGGAGTTTTGGAGTTTTCTTCTTTCTTATTTTTCTTCCTGACTTGGGCTTTTTAGAGAGTTGAAGTTAAAATTGGGCGTGTTGTTTCTTTCCAAGAAAGGCTAATATATCTCATCTAAGATAAAATATTTTAGTCCATTAATTATACCCAATCTAAATATGCTGGCAGTTGGGGACTTAGAAGTTTCCAACTTCATAGGCCGTATCCTAGCCCTACAAGGCCTCTGGACAATGAAAATGTGAAGAACCCATTGGGCTGAACTATATACCACATCTGCAGTCGGGGAGTTGGCCTTGGCAGCCTGCACTGATTTCTTGTCTTCTTAGAGTTTGTTAGATGACTTATGCTTCATTTAGATGGTTTGAAAAAGCGATACTTAGAATGCTATCACGAAGTCGTGGGGCTGAATAAGCTTGGTTTATGTTGTTGCTTTTAGACTTCGTCATCTGTTATCCATTATCCAGCAAAGAAAAATGCAAGGTCGATTCATTTTCTATTTCATTAGATCCTTACAAGAAATAAAACCATATATTTATTTCCCACATTAATTTAAACGATTTGTAAGTTGGTATGCATGCATATACTGTTACAGTGTTAAGCAAGAAATTAATTCAATTTTAGATCTGTTTATTGTTTTTCTTGGAAATTAAGAATATTCAGACACTAACTAAATTCAATAAACTAATCCATTATCTGGTGTAAGATCTATGATTAAACTGATACAAGCATCCAGTGAGCTACCCCTTATTTAGCCCGTTGATCAGTTGACCCAGTAAATACACTCTGAAAATAGTTGATGCTTTGATTTCAATCAACAAAAAATTTCAATCCTGTGCTCCCCCTCTCAGCCTTCTGTTATTGTTGTCCCATGCATGCGGCTAAGCTGCCACCACCGTCCATGCAAAGTCACCGGCACCTCCAATATTCTCCAATTATTATTATTATAATAATAATAGACGGTGTTGTTGTCGTCCCTTGTGTTGGGTTCATAAAGCGTTAAGCCAAAGCGTTGAATCATGTTCTTGACAAGAACTTACAAATACTTTTGTCTCAAGCCAGAATTTGTTAAAAATTCAAAAATCCAATTAGTGGGAATTTTGTATATATGAAGCTGCTTACCTTTCTAATATAGTTCCACTAATTCGATGGAATCTACACGCAAGAAAAAAAGGTATCAAAATCCATTGGTTAAATGCTCAATTTATTTAAACATTTAGATGATTATTCAATTCAAGATTAAACGTTATAATTTATACAAATTAAGATTAAACAATATTTATTTACAATAATATAAAATTTTTTTCAACGAAAATTTGAATGTGAAACATACAGGCCTTTAAATTTAAAAATTATTACAAATAAAAATGACGTGAAATTAAGCTTCCAATCCTTAAATGACAGATGGAAGGGCTCTTACCTTTTTTTCTAAGCTTATTTCATTTCATTTGTCTTCTTTATCATTTATCTTCTTCTTTACGAACTACAAATTTGCAAAATTTGCACCACGATTTCCTCTCTCTTCCTATTTTGTTATGGAACCATATCTCCATTTGCCTAGACCTCAGATTCAATTGTTTTGCCAATGCCAACTTTTTCTTCTGTACATAACACAAGAACAACATTAAACCTAAATTGAAAATTCTGAAACTATCCTCACAAAAGAAGTCGATGACTGAAATTTCACCAACTGGATTCAGAGTGCTATGTTTCTTGAAGTTTTCTTCAAGCACCAAGGACTGTTCCTTTGAAAGCCTAAGCTTATTTTTTGAGGCATCACTAGCAGCACCATTTTCATTATCACTGGCATGAAAGCAAAATGCTCTCTCAGCCTTAGTTTCATCACTCACAAGGTCTCTCTCATTTCTCTTTCCACTTATGCTAGAAATTGTGTTGTTGGGCAATGACAACCCATATTCCTCTTTACAATCAACCATTGCTGGTGCCTGGTTCACATCAATTCCTCTAAGAAATTATCTTGTATCCAAGTGTCGATCTGTATGCAAATTATGAATCACAAAATTGATTTCATCAACCTAATCAAGTTAGCTTTATCTAAATGTTAGCTTGGTAATTACAATAAAACAGATGGCTATTTGTGAGTATTGTGTTGCTTATGAAACGTGACACGACAAACCCAATAGGCAACATAACACTGTTGTTCAAATTTCAAGTTCACTGACCAGTAATTTGGATGTGGGACAATTGTAACAGTGTCAAGCTTAGGTTATCAACATTTTGAGTACGTAAATGTCAAGCTTAGGACCTTTGGCTTGCTTGCATTCTTTATGTTTAAGGTATAAGAGGAATCGTTTGAAATGATTGTTATTGGAAGTAATAACCACAAGGAATTGCTAGTTGTCGATGAAGTTAGAGTAAGAGCCGTAATTTGAGTAGCATTCGTCATCAACTTTGAAAGGATGTTTATTGGAAGCAACATGAATTTCTTCAACTTTCATCTTTTTGGAAAGGCAGAGTAAAAAGAGAAAAGGAATAAAATAAATTTGATTTAAATCTATGAATTTTTAGACAACTATAAAGAAGTTTAATTGTATAAATGTAATAAAAGGTTTGAGAGAAAGAAATAATAAAATTTTGGGGTGAAAAGTTACAGACAAGTAGCAGTACAGTAGCAAAAATATGAGTTTTAAAGATAAGCTGGAATTGAAATTTTAAAAAGAGAAAAAAAGAACTGATTATTCTTTTAGAAAGAGAAATAAAGAACTGATTGTTAAAATTAAGTAAAAAAGTGACTCTCACTGTGAAAAAGCTAGCTTAGCTTTTTTTATGCACAATAACTGTGCATTTTTTTCACATTCAAGTTTCTGTTAAAAAAAATCTTATATTGTTACGAGTCAATAATGTTTAATCTTTATTTGTATAAATTAAAATATTTAATCCTGAATTAAATAACCATTCAAATGTTTAATCTCAAATTGAGCATTTAACCAAATCCTTTCATGAAACTATCAAACTCAAATCCAACTCTAAAAATTTAGCAAAGAAGTCACAGAAGTTTAGTAATGAGTTAGCCCCGTGACATTAGTTGGTGATAATTTCGATAAACAATGAATTTATTTAATCCTAAGATTATTTGGGTTACATTTTAGATGATCTAAGAAAATTATTAAAGGTTTGCCTAATTTATACTTGCAAAAGCAATCTTCTGACATGTTTATTTTTCTTGTCTAACCTAGTAGTTTAGATTTTATTTTCTTTATCTTTTATTTATTTCATTTTCTTAAGGACTTTTTTTTTCTACAACATATACATACTTAGAATCATATTACCTCATCCAACATCTAACTACCGTATAAAGTTATCTCCGGGCTCATCTCCACGCAACAATTGTCCAATTTAGGACATAAAAGAAAATTTTCATTTTGTTTAGGATATTATCGGATTTTCATTGTAAAATAAAAAATTCTTAGAAGAGATTATAAAGGATTCGAGAGAAAGGCAAATGGAAAAGAACAATCCAAAAAAAAAAAATAAGGGTATAAAAATCACGAAATAAGAAAAGAAAGGAGAACGAAAGGGAAATGTGCAGGAAAGGAAAAGAGGAAGAGTTTGATCTAACCTTTATCATTGGTACGACCTTTATTAAAGGTGGGTTACAAAGTACGAGATAAATAGAAAAAGATTAAGTCATGAATAAAGGTGGTTTATCGAACAATTGGTGGCTATATTGAGTTACTGAAGCGAGGCAATTAAAGATATTGAGTCGTGAATTACTATCGCCATGCAACCTCCACTTTGTAGTTCAACGAAGAAGTCGAGTACACACTCACTCTCTTTTTCTCTTTGGTAGTTTATTTCTTAGACTTCATAACTAGATTTTCAATTTTGAATTCATAAGTTTACAGAATTCCCATTACAAAATTGAATTCTATGGATTTATAATGCTTTAGGCAGGTATTTAAAGGTTGTATTCAAAAGATTTGAAAGAATACAAATAATGAATATACTATCAAAATTTGTTATTTAGTTTTAAGCATGATTTACTTGATAATTTTCTTTAATTTGTTTTTTTGTTGGTAACTTGGTTGTTGTTTAAAAAAGTTTAAAGGTTCTTAGTAAAGATTTCATTGGATGCTTACAAGATATTTTTCAAGCAATGCTGACTAAAGGTACCCTTTTTGTTTTTCATTAAAATTTTTCTCTGCTACTTTTTACTTTATTTATAGGATGTTTTTTCTTATTTAGGCTTTGTGTAAATTTTGAATATTTCTTTTGCTACTTACTAACTTTTTATTTTTTGTTTTTGCATTCAACCCAATGTAATTGTATAATTATTGAGCTATTATTGACTCTGTGATTGTCATCTGATTATTTTTAAAGATGTGATTGTTATCTAATTATTTTTAATAATGCCTAACTATTGATTTAGCCTTTTGTTTTTGTTTTTTGTTGAAATCACTTAAGAAATTCTTAATTTTCTTAGGTAATTGTGTATTTTACTTATGGAAGTCTAACAATACCTTGCCATATTTTTTGTTCAGTGAGCTTTGTTATACTTATATTTGTATAGTTCTTTTATTACTTCTATAATTCACTAAACGACTTTTGAAAATAAAGAAGTAGGCTAAGCTTCTTGGTTAACTTCCTATTCCTACTTCAATTATCAGTTTTATGGCTGAAGTTGCTGTTGCAATTATCATCCAACAGCTTAAGGCTTTTTTGTCATAAAAACATTTACAAAAGAAACCAAATATTATTTTTGTAATGCATCGTGTATGGGGTAATACTCTTAAAAGTAAGTAGCCTTCCATCTCTATTTTTTTTTTAAAAAGGCTTTTTGATTCTCTTCTTTTGAAGAGTCCTAACCTATGTTCTGAAAAATTTTCAACTAGTATCATGTTATCACCCATTACATTTTAGTTACCAAATTTATATAATGCTACTTTGAAGTGAAATTGGCTAACTATCATAATTGGAGTTAGATTTTTGTCTTTTTTTTTGTTTGTTAAAGACATTGTAAGAGACTCCAAGTCTTATTTTTGTTTATGGACTATAACAAGCATATGAGTATTTTTTAACTTTCACATGTTTTGAGAAATAGGGAAAAAATAACAACAAATTTTTTTTAGGTACTTGTAATAGTTCCATTGATATATGTTATTTTTTGCACCTTTTTTGTTTATATAACATATGTAGAAAAGAAAAAAGATCAGATGGTAAATCTTTTTTTTTACTTTTAATAATTTTTAGTGCAATTTTTCAATTTAATAGCTCAGAGTAGTGGCAAAATTTGTAGTAGTTTGGTATTAAGTAATGATAGTGGCACTGATGTGCATTTTAATCTGTGCAAATGAAAAACATTAAGAAAAGAATCATGCTCTCGTATGCGAATCAAATTTATTTTAGTGGTGAATATCTTCTTCAAGGTTTGAGGATTAGTGTCATAGTTGGTAAGATAAGATTGCCAATAAGCTTTTTGTTTTTCTATCCATCTTCACTAATCAAGAAATTTAATTATGACATTGCATCTAACTAGACCTTTCATGTTTCCATTTTTTTCTTCTTTGGCAGTTCAATTTAATAAGAAGTTATAGTTAATGTGAGAACCTTTGCTTCAACGAAAGACTATCAATTAGATCAAAATAGAGAAATGGTGGCGCTAGGAGCAATGAATGTTGTTGGTTCAATGACTTTTTGCTATGTGACTATAGGTGAAAAGTGAGAACATCATTAATCTGTTATATGATTTAATTTTATTTAGATTAACTTAGTATTAATTGTCATATATTCAATTGCCAATTGTATATATAGCAAATGCTTTCAACAAAGTTTCAAGTTTATCAAAACATGGATTTTTAAAGTATATGTAGTCATTGATTAAGAAACTCTTTTACTTGAAATGAAATAGATTTGAGTATAAGGTTTTTTTTTTTGTATTTTTCAAATTTATTTATAAAATTTGAGTTATTTACAATTTATAAAAATTCTTTTCAAAGTTTAACAAGTTAAAATATATTGAATTTGATAATCCGTTATCAATCAAACACTTTAGATTATAGTATTTTTATAAAAGAATAAAAATCTCCCTTTTTGTAGCATAGTATAGGGTGAATTCTAGTTTATATTAAAAGTGTTTGTGGAAGTACATAAAAAAATGCTTAGGGATAACGTCAAATTTACCATTCTATAAGATTGGGAGATTCATATTTACCACTCTACCAATTTTTTTTTATTAATTTTACCACCCTATTACATTTTTTAAGCAATTCTAGTAACATATGGATGGAGATAGAATTTCATCTAAACTAAAGAATATTCCATTAAGAATTATAATTATTTTTTTAATTTTTATTATATAAAAATGAAAGTATTTTATTTTAATTCTAAATAAGGATAATAAAAATAAAAAGAAATATTTTTTTAAATACCAACAATGCCATATATTTTTTTCATCTAAAAGAATAATTTTAATCCTTAAAAATTTTTTAATAATAAATATTGACATATAAAAAAAAATTAATAATATCTGTAGACACCCCATTTCGTTGGAGGCTTTAAATCGAATGATAAAAATGTTTAGTTTTGTTTAGGTTGGAATCATTTGGATCATTGGGCCTTTAAAATATTTATTGGGTTTTCTAATTTGTATTTGGGCTTTAAGCCCAATGGATAGTTTTTATTGTGCTTGGGCTATGTGCCTAGTAGGTAGTTTGGGTTAGTTTTTATGTGCACTTGGCCCTTGGCCAGGCAATAGTGTAACCAATTTTTTTTAGTTACTTTAAACTGAATAAAAACAAAAGAAAAAGGGAAACAAAATTAGAAAACTTTTGGAATCTAATCTAGAAATTATGATTGCGTGGAATTGGAAACAAAATCAAAATATTGACCATAATCATATTAAAACCTAAAATCAAGCCATGATTTAGATTGAATCTATTTATGGCAGATTCGATTTTAAATGAAGAACCCTAAAATTTTTTACTATAAATCCTTATAAATATTCAAAGGCAGACAAAAGAAAAAAACACATAAAAAATACAAAAAAAAAAATCAAAAGGTTTGTTTTTGGCTCTTTTTGGATTCTGGATTCATTCTGGTTTTGGATTTTTTTGGGTTTGGTTTTTTAGTTAGTTTGGTTTTTTGGGATTACAGGAAATTTTTTGGGCTCAAATTTGAGTCTTATGGCTTTTCTAGGTTTTCTAAAAAACCATTGAATTTTTTTATGATAATTTGAAGATTTTAATGGTTAGAATTTGGGATTCCTACCAGTTTTCGATTGCCCCAATCATTTTCTAGGTTTGAAATCGTAGAGAGAAATAGGAAAAAAATATTGTAGAGAGAGAAATAGGCAGGCAGTTTATGAGAAAATAAGAGAGGTTTGGACCTTTTTATATCCTATCCATATGGCATCATTTTAAACATCCATAAAGTCAAGGTTTGCGTGTTTTACCATTTTGGCAACATAACCTGATCATAACTCATGCAACTGACTCACATCCTCTTTGGCT